TCGGTTGTGTATGTGATAAATTTTGTAATTTTTATCATATGTTTTTTTACTATTAAACAAACATGCATAACATGTTTTTATTTTTTGTGTTCTTAAATACCATTTTCAAACAAACATACTGAACACGTTTTTATTTTTAGGTTTTCAAGTAATTTTTAATATTAAAAAAAACGAAATAAGTGCAAAAAAGTTCATTAAAGATCACACCCTTTATATCTATGTAAATTAAGTAGTTTAATGTAAATGTGATATGATATACTATTCTTATTCAAATTCATTTTCTTGAAACTGACCAAATAATCCTGCAAAAACATGCAACCAGCCCACAGAAGAGAAGACGAGAAGCTGACGCACAGGGCTTCTAACATAGAATGACTGGCCTAAATTGGAATGAATTCTAATCACACACAGAGGAAGAGTTGAAGCACATTGTTTTATTGGTCTGAACTGGGCTTCTAACATGGAATGAGTGGCCCAACAAATTGGATTAGATTCTAATCACACACACTTGAGTTGAGACGTTTGGCTGCTTTTTACAACTTTTAACTATATTACTCAAGAGATCATGAGTTTGAGTTTTTTCTCGATTGCTAATAGAGGTAATTATTAGAATTTTTACTCAACCAATAGTTCTAGAGTCTCAGGGGATTAGTTGAACTATGCGTAGATGTGTAAACGTGCCAAGTCAAGTCGAGTATCACCTTAAACGAGCTTGACTCGATTAAGCATTATACAAGTTCGAGTCGAGTCATGAGTCAATCGAGTCAGGAAAATTCGACTCGTGACTCGACTCGTTTATAATCGAGCCAGCTCGTGACACGACTCGAGCTCGTTTTACTCAACCCGAAAAGTTTGATTATAACTCGATTAACGCGAGCTCGATTATGGCTCTATTACGGCTTGTTTGACCATTTTTTTATATAACTTGCGGATGTTGTTTTACACAAATGAGATCAAATTTTTGGAAAAATTTCATCAAAAGCAACATAAATCACATCAAAATACACCAACAAATTGCACAACATAAATAATGATTAGTAATATGAAAATAGGGTTTAAGGGTTGATTTGTGATTTTTTAAACCTTTTGCATGTCAAATTACAAGACATAACTAAAACTTGTATTTTTTGTAAAAAAAACCCTAAACGAGCCACTATTGACTTGCAAGCCGAATCGAGCCGAGCTGGGGTAGACCCGAACTCGGGTCGGTACCTAATTCGAGTCTTACTCGAGCTGGCTCGACTTGATTTAACTCGAGCCGAGTTCGAGTATTTAACGAGTCAACTTGAGCCGACTCACGAGTGGCTCAACTGACACCCCTAACTGTGCGTTAGCTAATTCAGACTCCCCACTTTATAAAAAAAAAAAAAAAAAAAAACATTTATATATATTTTATTATTATATCAAGATCATTCAAAACGGAAGGCTATATCTCGTTATGCACTTATATGCGAATGCCCCTCCTTTATTGATGAAGTATTTAGTATTATAATGGCTATTTTTCCATACCAAGAAACAATATTTAACTTAATTACAAATCCAAATTTTCCTTCTCATGATAATTTCTGAAATTGATGGTTTTTGCCTTGTCCACAAGGAATAATACTATAAGTAATACTATACTTATAAAAACTCTATACAAAATTTTTCATATAAAGTAACGTGTCAAAATATGATCGAATGAATTAATATAAAAATCAATTTAATAAATATATATTAAATGATAATGACTAGTTTTTATATTAATTCATCAAATCATATTTTAACACATCACTTTATATGAAAAGGTTATGTATAGAGTCATATTATATTTACTAACTGTGCATACAAAATGACTTGTTGGTAAATAATTGGATGAATTATTATGGGTGCGTTTGGTTTAGTATTTTGAATAAGATTTTAGGGATAGTATTGGGTTGTTGGATAGGGGAGTATTACGAGGTAAATTTTAAAAATTTATGAAAAAGCCATTAGGTTTACTAATTTAATTAAAGACCCTAATATATAAAATGACCAAAACACCCCCACCATCTGCAGTGCCAGATTCCGACCACCACCACCGGAATCTGGCCGAAAAATTTTATTACTGCACAGACCGGTCAGATCTGTGCCGTAATGCGGCGTTATGGCCTTTTTCGACCAGATCTACCACGGATCTGACCGAAAAAGGCCAGATCTACGGCCTGTTATGGCAGTCGACGGTCGAAAAAGGCCAAAACGACTGCCATCTTTGGCCGTCAGCGACAACCATTTCTTTGGTCGTCGCTGATGGCCAGATCGGTAAACTTCCGGCCATTTCTGGTTGGAAGTTAGGCCGTTGTACATATTCCGGCTATCACCGACGGTGGTTGCCAGAATCTGACAAGTTGGGTTAATGGAGGTGTTTTTGTTAATTTTTAAACTTTTTTTCAGGGGGTATTTAGTGATATTAATAACCTTATGGGGTCTAAAAGTAATTAAAAAATAGGATAATATTTCTGGAATAATGTGTCAAACATTATTTGGAGAATAGGATTGGGAATATGGATAAAAATAGGGAGCCAAACGCACCCTATAATATCAACTTAATTAATACATAATAAATGAGATTGAATGACTCGGGAATATAACAATCAGGCCAATTACTTTAATAAAAATCTTTATATTCTCCTTTGTATGTGTTACTTGCCCTGCTTAAATATCATAAACTTAAAAATAATAATAATAATAATGAAATTACATAAACCTCCTCTAATTACAGTGAAAAGACATAACCTAACAAAAGTTCAAACACTAACAAAACCTCCTCCGTTTATAAAAAAGTTAAATTTTGTTATAATTACTAAAATATAATTCTCATTAATATTGAACATAAGGTGACTGGATCCTAGCCGACTAATAAATCAAGTACAAAACCATTTGGCAAAATTTTTAATTAACATAATTGCAAAAACCTATTTATTAAAACCAAACGAATCCCAAAAAAGCCAATCTCCCTATATTCCAAACCAATCCCTAAAGCAACATGTTTCAAATCAAAGGAAGGATGTGGTGATCGAAGATTTTGGCCATGTTTGGTTCATTATTTTTATCCGTATTCCCAATCCTATTCTCCAAATATTGTTTAGCATATTATTCCAGAAATATTAATATATTTTTTTAATTACATTTAGACCCTTTAAGCTTATTAATTTCATTAAATACCCCCAGAAAAAAAGTTTAAAAATTAATAAAAACACCCCCATCAACCCATACTTGCCAGATTCTGGCAACCACCGTCGGTGGTAGCCGGAATTTGTACAATGGCCTACCTGCGGACCAGAAATGGCCAGAAGTTAACTGATCTGACCTTTTTCGGCCAGATCCACAATAGATCTGGCTGGAAAAGGCCAGATCTGGCCGTCAACAAAAACCAAAGAAATGGTCGTCGTTGACGGTCAACGACGGCCAAAGATGGACTTCTTTTGACGTTTTTCGGCGGTTGACGGTAACATTTGGTCGTAGATCTAGCCTTTTCCGGCCAGATCCGTGGTGGATCTGGTCGGAAAAGGCCTTAGCGATGCGTTACGACACATATCCGACCGGTCTGTGTCGTAACAAAATTTTCTAGCCAGAGTCCGGCGGTGGTGACCGAAATCTAGTACTGCAAGTGGTGGGGGTATTTTTGTCATTTTATATATTAGGGTCTTTAATAAATTAGCAAACCAAAGGGCTTTTTCATAAATTTTTAAAGTTTACCTCGTAATACTCCCCTATCTAACTACCCAATATTATTTCCAAAATCTTATCTAAAATAATGAAACAAACGCACCCTTTGTTGCCAACTAATAGAGGGAAGAATGTTGTTGTCTATCTAGTTAAGGCATAACTTGACACTAGACAATCTAATGTAGGCAAGTGATTATGACATACTGAATTTTCAATCTTTACGTTTATTTTATTTTTCTTTAACATTTGTTTTGTTTTATCTTTTAATTTGAGAAAAGTTCTTTTTTTTTTTTTTTTTTAAGGAAGAATGATTTGGGGTTTTTAAAGCTATAGTAAAGGTAGTTTAAGGTTTGTTCGATTAATAGGGGCTAATTTTGGGTTTCCAAAAATAAATAATTTTAAAAGACTCTTATACCCTTGTTCTGTTTATTTTAACTGTTAACTACAAACGGATGGGTATATCTTTGTTAGTTTGTAATAGTGAAGAAGGTTTATGTGATTTTTCTTCTTTCTGTGTTTTTTTGAAGGGTTTATAAAACACCCCAAATCATGGTGTTTTGGTTAGTTTTAAAATTTTATTCTACAAATACCCTATCAACTATAAAACAATCTCAATTATATAAAAAAAAAAAAAAAATTTAACCATATTATGCACGTCTTCAACCATATTAAGTATAAAATAATTTTAAGCAATCATAAAAAAAAATTATTAAAATCTCATTTCTAGATGATTTCTTGGAGAAGTAGAGTTACAATTTTTCAATCATTCAAGATGCTACAAAGAATGATGAAGAAGGATAAGAAGACTTTATCATATTTGAAGTTATAAAATACTAATAAGTAGAAAACAAATAAAAAACTCTTATTTTATAATTGAAAAAATAAAACTCCCAAGTACTGGTTAGAGTTGGGGTATTTTTATGGGCATATATGTAAATTTATTATTTTAAAAAACTGTTAGAACCGTTAAAAAATAAACTCCCAAGTACAGATTAGGTGTTTTAAAAATTGCTACTAAAATCCTTTAAAACCGTTACGATGATTTACCCTTATAATCGCTATCATGAAACTCCAAAGCAAACAGCCGGCAGTAACTTTGTCAAAAAAATTAAATAATAACTTGAGATTTAAATAGTAAAATCAAAACAATAAAATAAATAAATAAATGTGATTGGTTACCCAAATTTCTCAACCAATCACAGGCAGCTACTCTCAGTCTCACCAGCATCTATGTGCACACTGACGCAGCACATTACACTTACAAATTACACGTATGCATCTCTCCTCATGCTTATTAGTTATTACTCATCCATCCATCAATTCATCCGCCTTACTCACAACAAATCCATATTCCCCAAGTATCGCCGATAAGGTTCGGAGTTTCTTCACATGGCCACCGATGTTCAGACCTTGGAAGAAAGGTTCTAATTTCATCTACTTTTCTTCCTTTTTTCCGCTTTTCTATAAATTCTGGAACTTTATTTTGAGCTCAGATTATGGTTTAGTTGGTTCAATGTATAATTTTTATTTAATTCTTAGTATTCTAAGGTTTAGACTACTCGTAGCCTCGTAGGTATAAATTTTGGAACCTGGATTGTGAATGAGGTGAGAGTTAGGGGTCTGTTTGGCAACTTGGTTACTGTATTCCAGTGATGGTTAAGGTTTTTGCATGCTGGAGTTTTATGATATATTGCACTTAAATTAGTGCATATTTTAAAAACAAAGAATTTACTCTTTACTAAATATATACTTGATTTTTGCTTTCTAGTTATCTAATTTATGGGTTTGGTTTCAGGTATATTGATTCCTGCAGTAGACTTGATGTATTACCAAATCCTGCAATTTTGTCTGGTCTCTTCAAGGTCTGTATTGATTACGGTTTGGGCCACGTGGACTTTGTTGTATTTCATTAATTAGTTATTTATGGCTCATTTCATGATGTTTGAAATGGTATCATCTCCTGAGATTTTATCACGGATGGGAATTATTTTATTTTTTATCAAAAGCTTTTTCCAATACGGTAGAATTTCCCTTTATTTTTTCATTGAGGAAATTCTGCATGGAAGTTGTTACGTTGTATGATACTTTCTCTGTTATGGTTTATTGTTGATGGAAACATTTAGTTGAATCTTTTTGGTCCAGGCTGATGTTAGAAAGGCTCGGCGAGAATCATGTACCCTAGAGATTCTATTGGAATACTTGAAGGATATTGATTTCAATCCACTTCTTGAAGTGTGCCTCGAAATTAGTGCGTCTGAGATTGAGGCTGTCGACATACGTGGTGGATCAGCATGTGTGTTGAGTGGAGAACATGCTTTGGCTCTGATGCGTGCTATTGGTCAAAAGCTTCGATCAGTTGATCTTCAGGATACGTCATTTGAGAAGGAGTTCTTGCGGTATTGCATCCATTACTATTCCATCATTTATAATAACTATTGGGGAGTTTTTGCCAGAATTTAAGCATACAAACTCACAGCTCACAATGTCCTTACCACCGACTATTTAATCTGAACTTCTTTTGCTTAATATTAGCACAAGTTCAGCACTAGCAGAACATCTGAAAGTGTTGGTTGAGAGCGCTTTGATCAATCAATGGAATTCATATGTTAAATCAACAGATATTTTAAATCATAATTGCATATATTTCATTGACTTAAAAATAACAGCTATAAGATTCATTTTCCAGTGATACTGGAGCCTTAAGTTTATAATGGGCAGACTTACCATGTAAGCCAATTAGTAGGTGACTTACCAAGCTAACCATGTCTATACCATCTTGTAGTTATAGCATTTGATATGTTTTATTGATGATTTTATCTGTCACTTAAGTTGTTTTGAAGGGTTACGGACATTTCAAATTTTCACATTACTTGTTTCTGCCATATGGCTAGCTAATGTTGAATCATTTTTGAATTGGAATCAATCAGAACAATTACAGTGGAGATCTTCATAAAAAATGAAGCAGCCAAAAAAGAATTAAATTTCTTTTATCAAGCTTACTTCTGATACTGTAGCTTCTGCTTACTATTGCAGATATCTATATGTGTTTTGGGTGGACTGGAATTTCCTTTGGTTTCTCTACTTTTCATCTTATTTATTATGCAACATCTTTTGTTGTTGCATTTTTCACTGGGAGAAATAGTTTATGTCAAAAAATATTTATGAAGCATCATGATTCTCATTGACTATTTCTTGTCACTAATTTGAGGTTCACCATCAGGGATCTTTCTCGAAGAGGTTTGACATGCCAAGTCTTAGACCTGAGGACCTCGCATTTTCGAAACCTGAAAATGATGGGCGAGTTCATGCAATTACACACTCTCAATCTTGACTATAGTAATTCACTCTCTAGTTTCAAAGAAGATTGTTTCACTTGTATGCCCAATCTAATGTGCCTTTCAATGTGTGAGACAAGAGTGTCAAATCTCTGGACGACTGTAGCAGCACTTTCTAAACTCCCTTCTCTGGTGGAACTTCGGTTCCAAAATTGGTTCTGTTGCAATGATGCTGCTCATTCTTCTGGATCAACTGATCAAGATGACAAAACTGATTTCTTTCATCTCAGCAGTAGTTCATCCATTGGAGTTTTAAATAATGTAGTTACTAACCGTGATACTCAAATCTCGATAGAGGATTCATCAGATGATAGTGAAATGGATTTCTCAAGTCAGCAGCACGAATATGATTACATGGACCTGTTTTCGAATGTAGCTCCTCAAATGGATGGAGAGATTGGTCCTTGGAATGAGGTAAACTATATGGTTTTTTTTCTTCTTCCACTAGTATCTTGAGTTTTCTTTTTTCTTTGCTATGTGATTGAAAACTTTATACTTAGAGCTGCCCCGAGTGTTATTGACAAGCAAATTGGAGACAATTATTTGGCTACTAAAGAAAATAAAGTTATTCCTATCTTTTTTATTTATTATTATTATTATTATTATTATTATTATTATTATTTTTGTAAATGTCTTATTTGGAAAGCATTATTATGGTTGCCTAGTAATGATCATCTATCTAATATCTTTAAACTACACTTTCTCAAAGTTTGATGTTAATTTTAAGTGATTATTTATTTATTTCTTTTGTTTTTATGTTATTTCTTTTGGTCACCTTTCATATCAAGGTGATATGTGTCTCTAGAATGTTTTCATGTGTCTCCAGAATGTTTTCGTTTGTAAAATGTGTTAGGTTTTGATGCTATTTCTTTATGCTTTTTGTGAAATTAGAAGAGATAATTCTTAATATTCATTGTGAATAATGTGCAACAATATATACACTCAGTAATTCATGAAATGAGGAAATGAAATAATCCTATTCCTAATAAATCTTATCCTTATCCCAATGTGATCTTGATCCTAATCCTAAGATGATAGTGTAAAACTCAACATTCTAATCCTAACATGATTCTGTACAACTCAACACTCTCCCTCAAGATAGAGCATATAAATCATATGCATCAAGCTTGCTACAAATAAATCCAACATGAGGACCCTTGAGTGATTTAGTGAGAATATCCACTAGTTGGTCGTTTGAGTTGACATGGCTAGCGGTAATACAACCAAACAAAATTTTCTCTCGAATAAAATGATAATCAATTTTTATATGTTTAGTCCTCTCGTGAAACATCGGATTAGAAGCAATATGGAGAGCGGCTTGATTATAGCAAAGTAATTTCATCTGTGATACTTCTACAAATTTCACCTCTTGAATTAGTTGCTTCAACCAAATGAGCTCACAAGTTGCTAAGGCCATTGCATGTATTCGACCTCTGCACTCGATCTGGCAATAACATCTTGCTTTTTACTCTTCCAAGATACAAGGTTTCCTCCAACAAGAACACAAAAACCTGAAGTGGAGCGTCTGTCAGATGGAGCACCTATGTAATCAGCATTAGAATACCCAAGAACATGTGTATTGACCCTTGTTTTCATATAACAAACCTTTGTCAGGTGCACCCTTGATACACCTTAGAATTTGAACAACTACATCCCAATGACTATCACATGGAGACTATAAGAACTGACTAACAACACTGACAGAGAAGGATATGTCGAGGTCGTGTGATGGTGAGATAATTAAGCTTACCAACCAATCTTTGGTATCGTCTAGGATCAGCCAGAGTGGTCTACAATCTAACATCCTTGTTTCTTTTAGAATATCTAGTGCATACTTTCTTTGAGAGATAACAATACCAGAGCTGCATTGAGCAACTTTTATACCAAGGAAGTATCTAAGTAGCCTTAAATCTTTGGTCTGAAAGTGGCTAAACAAGTGTTTCTTCAATTGCTCAATGCCATCTTGATCACTTCCTGTAATGACAATATCATCGGCATAGACAACTAGATAGATGCATTGCTTTGGTGATGTATGTTTATAGAAGACTGAATGATTAGATTCACACCGCACCATACCAAACTCTTGGATGATAGTACTGAAACGTCCAAACCAGGCATGAGGAAACTGCTTCTAGCCATACTGTGAGCGGCGAAGTTTAGAGACTAAGGCAGACTCTCCCTGAGCAACAAAACCAGGCAGTTGCTCCATATATATCTCTTCCTGAAGCTCACCATACAGAAATACATTCTTAATGTCCAATTGGTATAGAGGCCACTGTCGGATGGCAGCCATAGATAAGAACAAGCGGACATAAAACATCTTCGCCGTAGGAGAAAAAATGTCATAATAATCCAATCGATAAGTCTAAGTGTACTCTTTGGCTACCAATCTTGTCCATCCGAACCAACTTTGACATTATAGATCCAATGACAATCAACAGTCGACTGCCTCGGAGGTAAAGGAACCAATTCCCAAGTGTTATTATTATGAAAGCAGTCATCTCTTCAACCATTGCCTGATGCCACCTAGGATTAATCAACACCTCATGAATATTGGAAGGAACAGACACAGAAGAAATTGTGGATTGATAGGCCACCCCTTATTAAAAGCTATCAGAGGCAGAGGAGAAGGGTGAAGAGGATGACTCGAAGACATGAGAAGAGCGTGACCAGAGGCCAGGAGAATTAGTTAGGAATAAGAACATGTGTCATTGTTGGGTTGGTTACCTTGGGAAAATCTCACATGTATATAAATAGGGAGGGGCTGCTCAAAAAGGGTAGAATATATTTTGTAAAGGGATTCTTAAGGGAGGCCGCTAACTCCTCGAATTGTTAGCAACTCTATCTGTTATTTAGTCCTTTATTTTCTTTTCTTTTGCATTACTGATATTGAATCCAAGTGAGTGAATTAATACAAATACTTCTTTGCTTGTTCCATTTTCTGGTTCTGCGTATTGAGATTATTGGTCTGTTGTTTCTTTGTGTTGTTGAACTGTTTGGAGATTGAGGTTTGTATCATAGACACAAAAGCAAAATATGATGAAGATAATTGATGATAACTAAGGAAATTATAAATCGGGTGAGGGTTGCGAGTGGACCGTATGCCTTTACGAATGGCAATGGGAAACTGATCATCAGGAGGTGGGACCACTTCATGAGAGGAATCTGGAGCAAGATCTGTAACAGGAGCCTCAGGAACAGGGTCAGGGACAATGTCAATACCTGTAAGAGGAATAAGAGCATAATCTGTAGGAGGGGACTCTCCTATAGGTTAAGAACACTATGAGACAGGGGCAAACTCAAATGACTAACCAAAAAGGGGAGCAATGTAAGGTACGGGGAGGACCTCAGTTATAGAGGCACAATCCGGTGGAGATGAAGAGAAGAAGGGAGAAGACTCAAAAAACGTAACATCAGTAGATAGGAAATATCGATTCAGTGTGGGAGAGTAACACTTATAAGCTTTTTGAATACACGAGTAACCCAGGAAAATACATTTGGTAGACTTGGCAGACAGTTTATCCTGACCAGGGGAGAAGACATGGACAAAACAGGTGCAACCAAAGACATGGGGAGGAAGAGAGAATAAAGACTGGTTAGGGAACAAAACAGAATGACGTACCTTGTTTTGTAGGACAGAAGAAGGCATCCGATTGATCAAGAAACAAGCAGTCAGCACAGTGTTTGCCCAAAACTGGAAAGGAACCTGATTGTGTAAAAGAAAAGTGCATACAGTTTCAATGAGATGTCTATTCTTACACTCAGCAACCCCATTTTGTTGTGGGGTTTAAGCACAATATGACTGATGGAGGATTCCCTAGGAGGACATGAATTTTGCAAAGTGGGCAAAAAAGTATTCACTAGTATTATCACTCTGCAACACACGAATAATAGTATTAAATTGAGTCTTAATTTCAACACAAAAGGATTCAAATATTGAAAATAATTCAGAATGAGTTTTCATTAAAAATAACCAGGTGCAACGAGAATAATCATCAATAAATGTAACAAAATACTGAAAACCGAAAATAGACAAAGCACGACAAGGACCCCACACATCTGAATGAATTAACTCAAAAGGGGACGCAACCCGTTTATTGACACGCTTGGGAAATGAACTCCGAGAATGTTTCCCATGCTGACATGACTCACAATTGAAAGATGATAAATTAGATAGACCTGGAACCATCTTCTGAAGCTTCAATAAACTAGGATGGCCCAAACGATTATGAAGGAGAACCGGAGATTCTGAAATAGTGCATGCAATAGGGGCAGAAGGTAAATTGAAATGGTAGAGGCCTTATGACTCATGTCCTGCGCCAATCATCTGTCTCGTGTCTCAGTCTTGTATAACAACAGAAGCAATATCAAAAGTGATAGAACAATTTAAAGACTGTGTAATTTTACTGACAGACATAAGATTATAAGGACAATTAGGAATATAAAAAACAGAGCCTAAGGCCAAGGATGGAAGTGCATGTGCACGACCCACTGCTTTAACAACTGTTTTGGACCCATTAGCCATAGTTACAGAAGACAGAGATGTAGCAATAGTAAGATGAGAAAGTAAATGAGGGTTGCCAGAAATATGATCAGAAGCACCAGAATCAAGTACCAAAGGCCTTATAGGGGAAGACTGAGTGAGGCATGCAACTGAATTACTTGAGTGAGCTATGGAGGCAACAGATGAAGAAGATTGCTTATTTGTTTGATACTTAAGATACTCTTTATAATCAGCATCAGTGAGAGTCAAGGATTGTTGAATGTGTCCCTTAGACGATTCTGAATGCGGATCAGAGTGATCAGTCTGAACAACATTAGCGGCCCGAGAAGGGCGGCCATGCAACTTGCAGCATTTCTCCCTGGTATGCCCCCATCGATTACAGTAGCTACACTTAGGTCGACCTCTTTTGCCACCACGGTCTCCTTGATCTCGTTTATAAGCGTTTTGAGTCTGAGAAGCCAAAACTGAAGAGTCAACCAAGGGAGATCCTGTCACAACACCCGGAGAGGAGACACGAAGTAATCGAGCAAACACTCCATCAAGAGATGGCACAATGGCACTAGCTATAATTTGATCTCGTATAGTAGAGCTGGGCTGATAGCAACGAGAGTAAGAACCATGAAAAATTTTTCTTGTTGGGCCAGATCTTTTGCTGCAGACTTGCCAGCAGGCAATAACAAATTAAATTTTGCCTTAAGACAAGTCATCCTGCCAAGGAAGTCTAACATACCCATATCTTGTTGTTTGAGAGTAACCATACTGGACACAACAGAATATAAGCGTTGGATATCATTCGTATAAAGTAATTTGGCCTGACGCCATACCTCAACACAAGTTTTGTATATTTTATAAATAGAGTGAAGGGGAGGGTCAATTGTCTGCCATAATAAACTACATAATAAAACATCAATCTTTACCTAAATTGCTTTATCTTCTTTGATATCTTTAGCCTTAGTAGTCAAATGATCCTTCGAGCCTTGTCCCATACACCACAATTCAACAGAAGCGGCCCAGGAGGAAAAATTAGAGCTACCTATTAATTTTTCAGTTGTGATTGGAGGAAGAGAGAAGAATGAAACAAAACCTGATTTAGAGCTAGATCCTTCAGTAGACATGATTAATGTATGATAGAAATGAAACCGATCTAGGCAGTAGCAAAAAATATTTTTGATGACAGAGGACATTTTGGCGACAGCGATGACGTGGCAGGCGTCAGACAATGATGAGACCCAAGGTTATACTCGTTGGCGTTGTCTGAGGCTACTGGTGCTGGCGATGAGATGTCACACTTGCTGGAGAAGGAGATCGGAGAAGAAGTTGCCGAAAAGTACGCGTGGGACAACAAACGGCGATGATCTTTTGAGGGTTTGACGGCGAGAGAGAGAAAAAAAGGCTAGTGTTGTCGGATTTCAAAGTTGACACCAGACGGAGGCTGCCTGAACTTCGTCGGAAAAATTCACTGGAAAAAAAATCGCCGAAACAGAAAAGAAGAAGAGAGAAAAAAAAATTCTAGGGTTTCTGATTTCTTTGCTCTGATACCATGTGAAATAGATAATTCTTGATATTCATTGTAAATAATTTACAACAATATATGCACCTAGTAATCCATGAAATAAGGAAATGAAATAATCTTATTCCTAATAAATCTAATCCTTATCCTTAATGTGATCTTGATCCTAATCTTAAGATGATAGTGTACAACTCAACATTCTAATCCTAACATGATTCTGTACAATTCAACACTTTTCACTTCATAGTAAGGGTTAATTATATATCTATGTGCTTTTGAATCCTACCTACCATTCATATCGATTGTTCTATAGTATGTGTTGACGTTTGTTACATATGTCACTTAACATTAAAATTCTTTGATATTTTTTGGTTCTACTTGGTTTTGCAGGTTTCTCTCGAGACATTGTTGAATAAAAGTGAAGAAGTCTCAGCTGGTGTTTTGACAAGGCATGTTGCAGGTGTTTCATTGAAGTATTTGTCTTGTAATGCTTCACCAATATGCTTTGAGAAGTATTACAGGGATTTCATGATAGCTTCATTGGCACAGTTGAAATTTCTGGATAACTTATCCATCAGAAAGATTGACCGGGAAACGGCTACTAATACGTTTTCACAGAACTTTGAGTACCTACCATACAAAAGGAAGCATAAAGAGAGTATTGTTAGTACCTTGCAGAAGCGTGAAATAAGAGCTAGTAACTCTCATGTTAGGACTTCCAAGCAAAAGTCATCATATCCTTCAGGAATATCTCAATATTCCTATACCAGGTCCCTCTGTGCTGCCAAAGTTGGATCTTCTGCTTGGCCTTTCATACATACACTTTCCATTTCAGGCAATGATATCAGAGATGAAAATAGGATTTTTCGTCCCAGGCAGTTTGAGTACCATCCGTGTATTCCTCGCCTTATGGTCTTTGGAACCTTAGATGGTGAAATAGTTGTAGTCAACCATGAAAACGAGAAGATTGTTAGTTATATTCCATCATTTGGGGATATGAATAGTGTGCTTGGACTTTGTTGGCTCAAGAAGTATCCTTCCAAGGTATGAGTATTATAAAAATTATTCAAAGGGATTAATTTGCAATGGTTTTCTAATCCTAATCATAAATATCCTAATCACATTTGACTGAATGTGAAAATTATTAAAAAAGTATGAATATGTGTTATTCTTTTGTTAGTGACTATGAACATAATACTGTCTGTAAGAAAGTGTTGTTTGTCGGAGAAAACTGCACACTATATATATAGTGAAGAGTTTCTAGAGTATTTGATTCTGCATTATTAATTTTAATGACTTTGAAATTTCTGACTCTCTCTCTCTCTCTCTCTCTCTCTCTCTCTCTCTTGTTGCTCCTCCAGCTCATAGCTGGTTCAGATAATGGCTCATTAAAGTTGTATGATATCAAGAATATGCCACCAACAGTTGCGGATGCGCATTACGGTGCTGGTACTGTCAGCTTTGATGAATTTGACCTATTGACATCTGTTCATGTTAACTCTACGGATGAACTATTTCTTGCTAGTGGATATTCCAAAAATATAGCTCTCTATGACATCACTACCGGAAGACGGTTGCAGGTTTTCGCAGATATGCATCAAGAGCATATCAATGTTGTCAAGTTTTCAAACCATTCCCCATCGATATTTGCTACATCTTCATTTGATCAGGATGTCAAGTTGTGGGACTTGAGGCAGAAACCCGTACAGCCTTGCTATACTGCTTCAAGCTCAAAAGGAAATGTGATGGTTTGCTTTTCTCCAGATGATCATTATCTTCTTGTTTCAGCTGTTGACAATGAGGTAACTTTTCAACTTCTTGATTTTATGAGTGGAATTGTGAATGTGTTCCATGTGCTTTATTGCCATCTTATTTTGGGGGCTGTGGCTAGATTTTGACATCTAAGATGTCCACTCCTTGCAATAATTGGTCCTGACAGTGTTTTTGCATCTGATTGATCATGAAATTTGGATTAATCATCTTACAAATGATTACCCTTTGGTTCCAATAACTAAAACTAAAACTAAAACTTATTCCTTGTGAAATTCTTCTTTGGAATCTTTTTATTCTTTTGTTTGCATCTCAAATTTGGATTTGAATATTGATCATTATTTCATTGGGGATTAGTTGTACTTGCTGTGCTGATTTTTCACTCAATGACATATTAAATCATATGACCTAAAAGCTTGAGTTTATAGGTAAGCCTAACATTATTATTTAAGCTCTAACACTTCCTTCACATACAAGGCACGATGATTGAGCACGAGTACAATCACAATAACTAGCATCACAACAACTAGCTATCAAATACAAACATAACTTATCATAGTTTGTTTAAAACAATAGGGGAACTTGAATACAAAATCACTTTGGCAACCTGGTTTGATACCATATTAAAAAACTATTTGACTGTCCATGTATAGGGTCAAAAAATTGATTGCCTCTCTTTGGCACACCATAGTTCTCTCGTTGTCATTACCATATTGTTCTCTTAGTTTCTGGTCCTGCTTTTGGCATAATTAGGATAGAAACAATTCTGCTTTTTTATGGCAGAAAGAAAAAACACATTTGCTTGCACTGGTTTAACTTCATGTAGTGGGGTGGTGGTGGTGGTGGAATCTAATTGGGATTTTTCATTTAAACTTCTTACTGTGTTTGTGAATCTCTTTCTTTATATATATATTTTTGTGTTAGGAGAGGACTATTGATTATATATATACATAGAGGCATGAACTGTTGATTTCATTTGCCTTCTGAATGTTGTTAATTAATATTGTTCTTCCAATAGGTTGTGATAGAACTATTTTTTTAATATATCATCGTAAAGTTTGTAAACTGATGAGAACACAACCCAATGCTTAATAAAATGCTATTAGTGGAAACTCAACAGCACATCTCTGTAACTGGGAACTGAACTGATATATATATTGAATTGAAAATTGGCAAACACTGCAAGTAGAAAATAACAATGAGAGAAAAATAAAAAGGGTGGAAAATAACAATGAGAGAAAAATAAAAAGGGTGGCTAGCCCGTCGAGGGTCTAGTGGCTTCCCAACTGATTCTAGATTTCATGATATGCCTAGCTAGCTATTGCTCTCTCATATATATATATATAACTGAAATCACCCTCTCCTCACTCCCTTACGTGAAGATTCCTCTTAACTAATTTCTATTTTGAATCCCCCTTACTGCCCCTTTCCACTGAATTTTCCAAGCTGCCCTTTTTCTTCTTCTTCTTGTACAGTTTAGTTATAAGAAGCCTATCAATAACAACACATGCCCCCCTCTTTTCGAGACCCACCTTGTCCTCAAGGTGAAAATCTGGGAATTGTAGCAAGATCACGTCATAAGTCTTCCAAGAGGCTTCAAATGGTGGGAGGTCTTGCCATTTAATCAGAATTTCCAAAAGCAACTTGTGAGTGGAGAGGACGACTTTATGTTGCACTTGTAGTTCTAAGTCTTCACTTAAAAAAGAGGGAAGTTGTTGAACAGGGACGAAAGAATGCAGACTTGGTTTAAGTTGGGAAACATGAAACACCAGGTGGATGCGAGAAGTAGGGGGAAGGTCCAATCGATAAGCCACTAGACTAATTCTGTCTAACACCTTAAAGGGGTCATAGAAGCGAGGGCTTAGCTTCTCATTGAGCTTCCTAGCTAAGGACTGAAACTAATATGGTTGGAGCTTCAAATATACTAAATCCCCGAGTTGAAAAAAAAATCCCGACGGTGTGAATCTGCAGACTGCTTAATTTGATCTTGGGCTACAGCCAAATTGTGCTTGAGTTCTTCCAATATGGCATTTCTGTCCCTAACCTGTCGGTTGACATCTTCAATCACGGAGGGGCAGTCAGTGAGTTTTAACAGAATGGGAGGGTCCCTGCTATATAGAGCCTTGAAGGGGGTCATTTTGGTGGAGCTGTGGTACGCAGTGTTGTACCAAAACTCAGCCCACGCTAACAATTTGGGCCACTGTCGGGGTTGGCAACTACAAAAACAGTGGAGGTAGGCCTCTAAGCATCGGTTAACCACCTCCGTTTGCCCATCTGTTTGGGGATGGTAGGCGGAGCTAAATTTGAGAGACGTGCCTGCTGATTTAAACAATTCTTGCCAAAATTGGCTCATGAATACCCTATCGCGATCAGAAACAATAGATTGTGGAAAGCCATGAAGTTTTACCACCTCACGTATAAACACATTAGCGACATCTTTGGCAATGTAAGGATGAGTTAACAATAGGAAATGAGAGTATTTCATGAGACGATCGACCACCACAAAAATAGTGTCAAAACCTTTGGCCTTAGGCAAACCACTTATGAAGTCCATTGAAAGATCATCAAACACTTGGGTTGGGATAGGAAGGGGCTGTAACAACCCTACAGGTCTGAGTGAAGAGTGTTTGTTAACTTGGCAAGTGGCACATGTTTAAACAAATTTTAGCACATCCTGTCTGATACCCTTCCAAAACACAATATCAACAATTCTTTTATAAGTCTGAAAGAAGCCAGAGTGGCCACCACTCGGACTACAATGAAATTCCTCCAGTAGCTTAGGAATGAATGGTGAGTTCTTAGTGAGGACCAACCCGTTTTTAAACAATAAACAACCTTTATAGAGCTAGTAGTGAGAACGACTATTGGGGTCGAAAAAGTGGTCTTGAACAATGACTTGTAACTTCGGATCAGCTTGTGGTTCAGCCGCTATAGCATCATAATCCGTGAACTGAACTGTGGTAATGGTAGTGAGTTCCCTTGTGTCCTCTCTCCGGGACAAGGCATCAACCACCTTGTTAGAATTGCCCGGAAGGTAGTGAATCTCAAATGAGTATCCTATGAGCTTTGAAATCCACTTGTATTGATCTGGAATTTTAACCCTTGGTCCGTAAGAAATTGCAAGCTTTGCTGGTCCGTCTTGATGATAAATTTGCGGCCAATGAGATAATGACTCCACTTACGAACGGCAAAGACAATAGCCATAAGTTCTCGTTCATAGGCTGACTTAAGCCGAGATTGAAGTGAGAAAGCCTTACTGATGAAAGCAATAGGCCTAGCATTCTGTACTAAAACAGCACCCATTCCAGCCCTTGAAGCATCTATCTGAATCTCAAATGGAAGCTCAAAATTGGGTATCGTTAAAACGGGCATAGTGGTCATGGCAGTCTTAAGATTGTCAAATGCCCCTTGAGCTTCATCATTGTAACGCCCACATTGAGGTATGTAACTTATTTATGCTTGTTTGCCCTTAGTTAAGCTTATATGCTCTTAGTGTTGCTTGGTTGCCCTTAGTTTTGTTGGTTTTAAGGTGGAAGATTGGTGAATTTGGGAATTGCAGGCTTCGCCGTGGCAAAGAAGAAAGTTCGCCGCGACAAAGAAGAAAGTTCGCCGCGACAAAGAAGAAAGTTCGCCGCGGCGACGTATGCTCTAGAATTTTTCGCTAAGGTGAAGAAAAAGCTTCGCCAGGGCAAAGAGCTAGCTGGAATTCTTGAGAAAATTCTAGAGAAATTTCCTTAAGGGTAAAGTAACCATTCTACCCCTAATTAGTTGTAAATGTGGAGAGTGAAAAGCAAGGAAATTTTATGGAGAATGCAATGAAGGTGAGGGCATTCTTGTAAATGACTAAAGGGCAAAGATGAAATTTCTAAGAAAGTGTAGGGGCAAAATGGGAAAGTATGCATATTGATATGAGATATTAAGGATTCAAGCATACAAACCCTATCATTCTCTACTCCCTCACATGCCACCTTCACTCTCAAATTCTCTCAATTCCTTCATCAATTTTCAAGGCATTTTAGAGGACTTTGGGTTGGATTTTTGGTAGAGATTCATTCCTAAGCATCCCAAGGTAAGAATTCCTGCAAATAGATGTGTGATTAATTATTAAAGTGTTGAATTCTTATAGTTTATATGCTTAGGGTTTTAGAGAAAGAGGAAGTCTACCAAAGAGAGAGAGGTTCTAATGGAAGTACTCAAGTTCAAGGTAAGTAAATCCAACCCTAACAGTTGATTGAGCAATAAAAGTGTAAAGATTTTTTATATGAATTTATATGCTTGAGATTTGTTGATGGAATTGTTGTTGAGTTTGATGGTGATTCATGATTGGATTTCCACCATGAGAAGGGATGGTTGTGTTGATAGAAATTGATGGAAGTTTGGTTGAATTTAGAAAGAGTTTGAGTAGAATTTATGGAGTGTATTTCCTGGCCAGGTTTAATATTGCTTTAAGGCAGTTTTACTCCAAATATTGGTGGTTTGAGAAAGAAGTAGAAGTATAGTTAAATTAGAATTTGAGTATGCATGCATTAGGTTGATGAATGTCCAAGAGAAGCGTATGCATGAGTGTATTAATTGATCTTGATATGAGCTTGTAGATGATAGAGAAGAAAGACTTTTTATGCTACATGGCATTCTTGCATTAATATGCATTTAGAAAGAATAATAAGCATGAATCCTTCACATGCAAACATATGCATAGTATGAGAGCTTAAAGAATAAAGAACTTAAAGAATAAAGAGAAAGCAGAAACACCTAAGAAACAAAAAAAGAAGAAAGAAAAGTGTTAAAGAAGAGAAAAGAAAGGTTGTTGCGATGGTGAGCCCGTGGGTGACAGAAAAAGAATATTCCGACATGCACGCCGCCTTCAGTGAGCAGCCTAAGAATAAAAAGAGAATTTGTACGACCCGTAAGGTGGTGGGATAGGGGCTGTACCAAGAAGAAATATATCTACATGCAGGCCACCTCTAATGAGCGGCTAGAAGAAAGAATTCGTACAGTTCGTAAGAGTGCATGTAGTGAGGACTGTACTCACCACATGCTAGGGTTCCGAATCATGCATCAACGAGTCTGATCGGCAAAGAATAAAAAGAATAAGCCAAGAAGAAAGAAAAAGAAAGAAGAGAAGAAG